AAATATTGCATATATATGTATATGTATATGTATATGTGTATATATTTTTATGTATTTGTATATATGTGTGTATGTATATATATATATGTGTGTGTTTGTGTGTGTGTGTGTTTGTGTGTGTGTGTGTTTTTTTGTATATATGCTTGTTTGTTGGTTTGTACGTTTGTACGTTTGTACGTTTGTATATATGTATGTATGTTTGTATGTATATATATATATATGCCACCACAGCACGTCTCTCATGGCCTCGCAAACACCTCGTCTCTCTCTCTCTCTCAGCTACCCGCCTTTTTACGACGAGAGTTCGTTTGGGATATATGAGAAGGTGCTGGGTGGCAAGGTGACCTATCTGCCGCACTTTGATCCCAACTGCAAAGACTTTATTAAGAAACTTCTGACCGCCGACCGGACCAAACGTTTGGGGTCGCTCAGAAACGATACGATGGACGTTAAACGCCATCGCTGGTTTAAAGGCATCAACTGGGAGACGGCTTTATTGGGGGATTTACCGGTATGCATGTAGGGTTTAGGGTTTAAACTATGTCGAGGTTCTGGTGTGATTTAGGGTTTAGGTTCTCTGTGGTGGGTGCGTCAAAGTTTGTGTGTTGTGTTATATACGTGTGTGTGTGTGTGTTGTTGTCTGTGATTGCTGACTGTTTCTTCGTAAACGTGTGAGTTAGTAGTTTTGTGCGTAGTGTTATATACGTGTGTGTGTGTGTGTTGTTGTCTGTGATTGCTGACTGTTTCTTCGTAAACGTGTGTGTTAGTAGTTTTGTGCGTAGTGTTATATACGTGTGTGTGTGTGTGTTGTTGTCTGTGATTGCTGACTGTGTCTTCGTAAGCGTGTGTGCTAGTAGTTTGTGCGTAGTGTTATATACGTGTGTGTGTGTGTGTTGTTGTCTGTGTGTCTCCCTATGCGTGTGTGTGTGTGTTAGTAGTGTGCAGCCTATGCGTGTGTGTGTGTGTTAGTAGTGTGCAGTTGGTGAGGGTAGTGTCGTTTAACCCTCGGTAGTCGTAGCTGACATGTGTATATGCAGCGCATGATTGCTCGTTACTAATTGTTATTTGTATGAAACGGTCTATCTTTATCCCGACATTTTATATACAACTTCACCGACACGCATGCGTACTGCAAGAGTTTTAGGGTTGAGTAACCCTATACCCTAAACCCTAAAACATTAGGATGTAGCCGAGCATTCTGTTCGCCACTTAACAGTCCCACAGACATCCACACCGCACACACTACACTCGTACTACCCCTCGGTGGACTATGATAAGCGAAATATATTTATTTGTATACCAGTATGTAGCTATGTTGGTGAACTATGTATGATACTCTGCCCATGTATAGATGATGTATTATATTGTACCTACATATATACTGTGTATTCTATTGTACCTACATATATACTGTGTATTATATTGTACCTAAATATATACTGTGTATTATATTGTAACTATATATATATATATATATATATATATATATATATATTATATTGTACTACATATATACTGTGTATTATATTGTACTACATATATATATAGATATATTATATTGCACCTGCATATATACTATGTATTATATTGTACCTACATATATATATATATTATATATTATATATATTTTTATTGTACCTACATATATACTATGTAATATATTGTACCTACATATATTTATATATATATATATTTTATTGTACCTACATAAATACTGTGTATTATATTGTACCTACATGTCTGTGCCAATACTTATCATGTGCTGCTCTCCCAACAGCCACCAATTGTTCCCGATGTCCAAGGGTCCGACGACACCCGAAATTTCGATACCTACCCAGAATTAACAGACGAGGAGGTGAGTACTGTCAGCATATGTCACGTGTGACTTCTAATGGTGTTCTATCAATAGACTCGTGTGGTGTTCTATTAATAGGCTCGTGTGGTATTTTTGGTTGCTCAGTTGTCTCCATTGGACCTTGTCATGCGCGTTTTTAGTCCCCTCAGTGTCGAGTGGGGCTTGGTCTCACTTGGCTTGTGAGTGTTAGACGTAGTCAGAGAAGTATCAGATAAAGATAAACTGATGGTTTTAGTTTAGGGTTTGGACTCGTGGTTTAGTTTAGCATTTATACTCAGAGATTTCGTTTAGAATTTAGGCACATTGTTTTAGTTTATGTAATTATAGCGTTCAGGGTTTAGACTAGTGGCTTTAGTTTAGGGTTTGGACTTGTCGTTTAGTTTAGCATTTATACTCATGGATTTCGTTTAGGATTTAGATGCATTGTTGTAGTTTATGTAATTGTAGCGATCAGGGCCTTTAGGTCGTCTGCTATAGTCCTGACCCTATTCCGTGGCGTCAAACTGCACCTTAAAATATCGTTTTTGGACCGCCCCAGGACATCCCCTTGGAAGACCCGTTTAAATCACTGTTCGAGGACTTTGACTGCGACACCAGCCTTTCCAGGAGGCCCTTCCCAAACTTAAGATAGGGTACCCCATAAATATGAGCTGCTCTTAAGGTTCTCCAGGATACTCCGTGTGTCGCATTTGAACCTTGTACGTGCTCGGTGGGTATTTATTGGGTTTAGGGTTTATAAACCCCTAAAGTATTAATTGGACACCCATTGCGTAACCTAGCAACGGCCGCGTTTCCGAGATGAGCGCTGCGTTGCGATTGGGTCACATAGACACTTTGAGCGTACTGTTTTACCTACCAAGAGTGTTCTGCTGGCCAATGGTTTACAGGTTTTTTTCCGAGACCCTTAAAACCTGAAATTGGCAACCAGGAATAAACTGGTTCAGTCTCTCAGTGCGCTCGAATGAGAATAAGCCCCCGGTAGGTTTCTATAGACTAGGGCTTGTATATCTCGCTCTCTGTAGCTCCATCCCAATAACCTATCAATAGTTAAGTACATGTACATCCCGATAATCTATCAATAGTCAACTATAGGCATGAAGATGGCCTCCTACACATTGCGTTCAAGCATGCCAGTGTCATGCAGGTGTCATGCAGGTGTCTGAAAGTGACTATTGCCTTAGTCGCTTCGTTGGTTAGGGTGGGTACTGTATTGCGGGCGAAAGTCGATTGGAGCGCTTTCTATATCGGACCACCTAGTCTACTACAGTGCCCAATCAGAAGGCTTTATACTTGCCCGAGACCTTTTGGAATTACTAAGCACGGGTATTAGTTGCCATGGCAACGGAGACCGACACAGCCGCAGCCAGTATCCGATCTGTCTGGGAAAGGTGTTGGGGAACGGACTTACACATGTGGTCGATTGGGTGTGTGCTTGTTCACATACCTTCCAACAGGACTACCTTACCACAACGCTCTCGCATTCGGGTTGGCCTGACACTCCTAAACCCTAAACCCTGAGCCCCCCAACAGCCTTGGGATGCAAGACTTGATGCGAGCTGCAGACAGACACACCCACACTCAGGAGACACACTACTGAGGAGCAGCACATTTGCCTTCGCACGGCGCGTGCGTGGGTGTCACGACGGCCCTCTGCAGTCCGAATGCACACATTCAGGGCCAAGGTTGCCATGGCAACGGCTTGTCGCGATGAGCGGATGATAAGGTCGGCATAGTTCGTACAAATGGTGAGAGGGCGAGGCTTCTGCATGCCACGTAGTGTATAGCTCTGTTTGTTCGGTGGGCGTGTGCGTTGCACCGGCCAGTGAATGTATGGATGTACTTCCACGAAGGCGTGTGTGTGTGTGTGTGGCCTGTGCTTGTCATATTATAGTGTAAAGTGCATCTCCCGCGATTAAAAAAGTCAACCCCGGGACATGCTCAGAATGAGCTTATACGTGCCATGGCCGCAATAGGGTTTAGGGTTCAAACCCCCTGAATGGCAAATGGCACACGTCTGCAGCCAGCAATACACCACATCCGGGCATGCATACATACATACACGTCGATGTGTGGTAGGCCCGCTTAAAGACCCCTTCCCAGACTCAGTGGCCGTAGTGGTGGTGGTCGTCGTCGTATTCGGAAGACAATACATGTGTGTATTTGGTCAAACACTACGTATGTGCTAGTTGCTTAGCAACCAGTGCGCACGGTCAGGGTCAGAGTCCTTCTGTATGCACCAACCCTACAACCCTAGTCTATGCGTCGAGATGTGTATGGAGCGTTCCTGCATGGCTGGGGAAGGACTTGTACTTTGGGAAACGAAGATTAGCATTACTAAGAGGATTGTGGCTACCTACAAATGAGGTGTCGACATAGGAAGGATATCATTACTATGGCGATAGAGGCTGTACCTACATACGAGGTGGTGCAGATAGGCTGTGCGCGGGTCGTCTCGCAAGCGGTAGAGGTAGTCTAAATAAACTAGGGTAATACTATCGCAAGTGGTTCTTAGGTTGAATAGTGTAGGTAGCATTATCAGCTGGGTAACTGTCAGAGAAACCATTCTGCTTGTGTTTCTAGACATACGAGGTGTCCACTCATAGTGTTTACGCACACTCTCAAGCTTCCACTGCAAACTAAAACCAGGTTAGACCCTCCATGCTCCTTAATTTAAAATCAGGTTAGACCCGCCATGCTCCTTAATTTAAAATCAGATTAGACCCGCCATGCTCCTTAATCTAAAATCAGGTTAGACCCGCCATGCTCCTTAATTTAGAACCAGGTTCGACCCGCCATGCTCCTTAACTTTAAACCAGGTTAGACCCGCCATGCTCCTCAATTATCTCCGCTTACATATATGGAATCGAGTAGTGAAGCCATTTATGTAGTGATAAATAAACTCTATTACACCGGGTCGTCGATTTTACACCCTAAAACAGGGTTTTCAGTATCACCTTGGCTTGCATGAATGTGTAGGGTTTTTGGATTTTGGGTTTGATGTGTTTCTTCCACGGGTTAAGCAGGTGCCCATTGGTTTAGCAATCGGGTGTAGCATTGGCCTGTCAACAGTCTGGCCTATCGTTCTACGAGTGTGTGTGTATGTACATACATGTGTGACTGTAACCACATGATCCGTAGAAGCGATCCGCGTAGTAGTCTTACTATTGTATGGGAAGTGTCTCTGTCGGGTGATATGCATACAAGTGCACAACTGTCATTCTAGTAGGCGAGTTTAATATCTGTAGTAGAGTTCTCATGTATGTATATGTGTAAGCGTTGACAAGTCACACCTGTCATTAGAGTGTGCGAGTTAAATCTGTTGTAGTATTTGGGGTTTGAGGGTTTAGGTAGTGTTTTAGATTTTAGGGTTTAGGGTTTTAGGGTTTAAAGTGAAATATAGTGTTACAACGCTAGAATTGCAACCGTTAGTCGCTATGGCGCCAATGACAAACGTTTTAGGCTTAGAACAACATACTAGGCCCACTGAACAGCGCAAACTCGTACATACATGTGTGTGGCTCTTTGCAGGGAAGGACCCATCACTAAGCTGCAAAGTAACAACCCGGGGACTTCAGAGGTTATTCTATATATCTAGACATCATTCCTGTATACTAAATTTACCTGTACAACTACACCTATACTATATCTATTGTTGTATAAATAAATCACGTCTGGGACATCCTTTGGGGCTGAAATCGTTAAAGGAAAAACACGCTACGGGCAAATTGTTCATCGTGATAAAAGAGTAGGGACTGTTAAAGCAAAATAACGCTTTCAGGTGAGACGTGAATACCCTTGTAAACTTTCTTTGATTTTTCTGTATAGGGTTCTTTTTGGTTTGTAGGATATAAAATTAATTCACATGGTGTGATTGAGCGGGACAAACGGCACGTAGTCTATCGCGATCTGAACGTATTTCATAATTCCGACGAAGCTCACATAGGGGAGATACATAGGGGGTAGATAAGCTACAGAGGGTATAGATACATTATAAAATACCTTGACCATGTCCTTCTAAATTGTATATACTTAAAAGCCGCTCTCGAAATAATATGGCAGCAGAATTTTTTTTGTATGTTAGCATTTATAAAGTGGTATTTTATACTCATAGACGAGGACGCACACGAGCACAATGAATGTTCAGCAAATAAGCGATTTCGACTGGTTAAAACGGGCCATAAATTGACTTATTATATTGGCAATGGAACAGAACCCATCTTGGTGCTTTCAATAAACGCTGAATTATCAAAACCAATTCAAAAAATACAATGCAATGCAATGCGTATTGTATTGTATTGTATTGTATTGTATTGTATTGTATTGTATTGTATTGTATTGTATTGTATTGTATTGTATTGTATTGTATTGTATTGTATTGTATTGTATTGTATTGTATTGTATTGTATTGTATTGTATTGTATTGTATTGTATTGTATTGTATTGTATTGTATTGTATTGTATTGTATTGTATTGTATTGTATTGTATTGTATTGTATTTA